GCGAGCCAAGGAGTATTGCGATGGCAATGGGGTCGATGACGACATGATCCTTCGAGGCATTGACATCCGCTTCACCAAGGACACTAATTGTCTCCGATGGCATGAGCGCCAACGAGGTGACGATGCAGTTCAGGAACTGACCAGTTGGCCTTTGGTGAGAACAAGACCCTCAAGGCCACGGGGGAGAAACACCTATGTCCAGTCGAAGCGCTGGCAAGGATGCAGAGAGCATGGCCGATGAGGTTCGCCAAAGAGCATGGGGATGGGCTGAAGCCTCTCTTTCGACGGGCAAATGGAAGTGTGTTGAAGAGGGTGGAGGTTCAGTCACTCCTTCAACAGGCGGCGGGTGGCGTTGGGCTTCCCCCTGACCGGTTCATGAGCCACAGCCTCCGCATCGGAGGCGCCACGGCACTCTTCCAGAGCGCAGGGGAGATCGAGCTGGTGAAGAGACAAGGCAGGTGGTCCAGCAGGGCCGTTCACAGATGCCTGCACGACGGTGGAACTCAGCTGGCCAAGGTTTCGGTGAAGATGGCACAGCTCGGCAACACCATGCACTACGCATGAAAGGGGGGAGATGGCAAAAAGCCACATTTGAAGTGATGCGAAGGCATCAAAGACTGTGGCCGCACTGGCCGCATTTTGCCGCCAAAAAGGCCGAGCGACGCAGAGCGCACACTTAAGTCCTATATAAGTTACCGAACTTGTCGTGTTTCGCGCTCAAGTTTGTGGGAAAGGTTTGGAACTAACAACTTTTTGCGGTTTTCTGAAATTTTCATCATGTTTCATTGTTTGCCAGACGTTGCGTTACTGCGTATATATCTGTATATGTATGTATGTATTATATCTGCGTGTGTTTTATGTCCTCTGCGGCTCTTTGGGCCGCGCGTTGGCGGCGCTGTTCGCTGCCTGTGCGGTTCTAGGTTGCAAGATTTCTTGGCCCAACTGGTGTTCAAAAGTTCCTGGGTAAACTTCAGGATGAAAAATTTCTGAACCTAACTCGCTCAAATTTTGTTTCGGGTGAGCTTTAGGTTGCAAGATTTCTGGAGCTAACTGGTGCCCAAAAATTTTCGGGTGAGCTTTAAGTTGCAAGATTTCTGGACCTAACTGGTGCCCAAAAATTTTCGGGTGAGCTTTAGGTTGCAAGATTTCTGGACCCAACTGGTGCTCAGTTTTTTTGGGTGAGCTGTAGGTTGCAAGATTTCTTTACATAACTGGTGCTCAACATTTTGCGGCCGAGCTGTAGGTTAAACAATTTCTGAACTTAACTGGTGCTCAATTTTTTCGGGTGAGCTTTAGGTTGCAAGATTTCTGGACCTAATTGGTGCTCAAACTTTTGCGGGTGAGCTTTAGGCGCAAGATTTCTTGGCCCAACTGGTGTTCAAAAGCTTCTGGGTGAGCCTTAAGATGCAAGATTATTGAACCTAACTGGCGCTCAAAATTTTTCGGGTGAACTTTAGGTTGCAAGATATCTGCTAACGGGTGCTCCAAAAATTTGCGGGTGAGCTTGAGTTTGCGTCGACATAACCCTAAACCCTAAACTCTTTGGGCAGCTTTGAGTTATTAATGAAGATGTAACCACAAAATATCTGGAACATAACTGCGGCTCTTTTGGGCCGCAAACAACCATATACAACAAGCATTCTGTCGTGCTTTTGCTACAAACAAGTAGACATACACAAATATTGTTATTGTATAAGTAACAAACACCAAAAATGTAACATTTCCAAAGCCTGAAAACTTATTTCAAGCTATGAATATCTTATAGAAAATATACGCGCTTACAACCTCATTCCTTGCTTCAAGGTAACTTCTATAACTTCTACAACTTAAGTTGTATCTACTTACAGCTTCCGCAAATCCAACAAGTATTTTTAAGTTCTACAAATAGAAGCCGGCAGCCAAGTAGGAACTGATGTAAGGATGGGGCGCTGCGCCCCAACCTTCCAACAGTTGACCTTGAAATTTCTTGGGCTGCAGGAGGAACAGCGTAGCATCAAGCCCCAGCAGTTTGCGAACTGGGAAACAAAACCAGGAAAACTGGAAAGCGCAACCAAGATCTCACTGGGGCAAACAAACTCGACATGGGGGTTGCCAAAGCAGTCTTTACAAAATAAAAAATGTCGAAAGGATAAGTTCTCAGCCAATTTTGGCTGCTGCAGTTTGGCCACATGCGCTTGAACAGCGCTCTCGCTATTCCAAAAAATCTTGCTTAGTTGGTCATAATACTGAAAAATTCACTGTTCTCTAAGCTATCTTTTGTTGCTGGGCAGCAGCCTTCACTACTGTTAATGGACTTTTTGCTGCCGGACAGCAGCCATGTTGGTTGGTGGGCAGCAGCATTCACTTCCTATCATGAATCGGCTGTTTTGCTGCTGGACAGCAGCAATCTTTGGTTGCTGGACAGCAACGCTGCTGGGCAGCAGCGTTCACTTCCTTTATTAATCGGCTATTTTGCTGCTGGACAGCAGCTATCTTTGGTTGCTGGACAGCAACGCTGCTGGGCAGCAGCATTCACTTCCTATTTGGCTGCTGGACAGCAGCTATGTTTTGTTGCTGGGCAGCAACGCCCTACATGTGATGAGATTGCCCAGCAGTCCTACATGTGATGATGAGACTGCTGCCCAGCAGTCCTACATGTGATGAGACTGCTGCCCAGCTGTTCTACGCCCAGCAGTACATGTGATGATGAGACTGCTGCCCAGCAGTCCTACATGTGCTGTGAGGCTGCTGTCCAGCAATTTATCTACTGTCTAAAACTTTTTGTTTCTTATCTCATATCTTTGTGTTTCTTTCTGGTGCTAGATTGGGTCTGAGCCTACGACGCTTGCAGCTACCAAGGGCGCGGGTGCATGCAGGTGACTTGAAACATCTGCCACTGACTCAGTTGGATGAAAGCTGAATCACCTCTGACGCACTCCTTTTTGATACATCAAACGGCTTCAAGTGTGCTTGGATTTCTCAAACGCATCCCTTTAAGGTCGAGGACCTTCCTGAAATCCTGGTCGAACATGTACAGCAACATGTTTTTTTGCGCAGGATGCTGTCCAGCATCCTTACAAGCGCTTTAAGAAATGCTCATCAAACTTTCAAAGGACGCTGGCCAGCATCCTACGCAAAATTAAATCAACATGCTGCTTGGAAGTCTTGTAGCTCTGAGCCTGCTCAGAGGGATTCAAAAAACATCAGTTGAATTTGGCATGTGGCCTGGAACCGCTTTTTACAACAAATGCTGTCCAGCATCCTACGCGCTCTGTGTTTCTTACTGCTTATCAACGACTATAAGAAGCTGTCCAGCGTCTCATTCCTCAAAAATTCAAAACACTTATCCAGTGCTCTCAGCTTCAGGAGAAGTAGCTGGGGAATCAAAGCTTCAGACGGAGACACCTGGTTTGGGTGTTTCCGGTTTGGTGCATTTGGGCCAGTTGAGTTTTGGAGTCATGGAGTCATGACTGCAGCATTCCTATGTTGCAGGGCACCAGGAATCACCAGGAATTTTCATCCTCCCTCTGTCTTTACATGGTTCTGTGTTTGAAGCATTCCAGCTACCACCCCCATGACCCATGCATTTCATATCATCAACCTGATCAACCTGCATGAACAACTACTTTCAAAACCTTCAGGTTTAGTAGAGACCCTCTCAATCTCCATGGTTCCTCTGTTCCTGCTTAACAGCCAGTAAGGCAAGCGGAGCCACCGTTATTCTGCGGTGTCCCAGGCGCCGCCCCCGCAAACGACACCATCCATTTCTGCCCGCAACAGCGGTCGGAAGGGGGGTGTGCCCAGCTGTAGCAGCAGCCCGTAGCAGCAGCGCGGCTAGGCCCGGCGGCAGGCGTGCAGCGTCCCACGTGATGGTCGCAGAGCGGCCTGCTGCCCTGTAGACTGCCCAAAACGGGCTGGTGTCGCAGCGCAGGGTTTGTGGCGTGGCCAGCTTGTAGTGCAAAGGTAGTACGGGAAAGAGCTTTTCGGAGCTGGACTCAGAAGTGGCCAGTTTGTAGTACATATGTAGTACCGGAAAGAGCTTTTCGGAGCTGGACTCAGAAGTGGCCAGTTTGTAGTGCAAATGTGGTGCGGGAAACCGCGAAACATGCTGGTGTAAACGCGGCGTGTCGCTGGTGAGCGGGATGATTGGTGGTATCGTGTGATATGTTTGCTTCTAGTCTGTGACGGACCGTGTGGCGACATTACGTTCGTGATGTCGCAGTGCCACGCGGATTTGCACGGCCTTGGTGGAAAGTGCGTTTGCGTGGCGCGGTGCCACTGGGGAGCGGCGCGAAACTTGCTGGTGTAAACGCGGCGTGTCGCTGGTGAGCGGGATGATTGGCGGTATCGTGTGGTATGATTGCTTCTATAGTGTGTGGGCAGACCGTGTGGCGAATTACGATCGTGATGTCGCGCTGCCATGCGGAATAGTGCGGCCTTGGTGGGAAGTGCGTTTGCGTGGCGCCGTGCCACTTGGGAGCGCGAAACATGCTGGTGTAAACGCGGCGTGTCGCTGGTGAGCGCGATGATGCGTGGTTACCGAAAAACAGTTCATCCCTCAGTTTGTTTTCGATTGGAACCCTTTCGTTATAATGCTTACTCCTACTAGCTTTTCGTGGCAGGCGCAGTGTTTTGTCATCATCATAATTGGACATACTCATACATTACACATCATCATCAGACATACCACATCATCATCATCATCATCATCATCATCATCATCATACATACGCAGACATTATACATCATCATGCATTTGTGATCATTAGACGTAGTGAAACGGACCCAGCAGAAAGGCATCAACTAAGTCAGTGATTAAATGATGTGGGCCTCAATGACAAGAATGGTCTGACACATTGTGATACATTGCTACCCCAAAAACATTTTACCATACATGTTGCCGACAAACGGTTCACCCCTCAGTTTCGTTTGGAACTGTTTCGTTATAATTAATGCTTACTCCTACTATGCTTTCGGGCCACCCTGTCGTCTAGTTTAATTTTGTCATGTTGGGTGTTGAGGCAGACCTGGAGGCTGTGGCTGCATTCTTTGGCTTGGATCTTATTGAAGACTTCGTGAAGCCTTTATTTCTGCCTTTCTTGGCAAAGGTGCCTGCGCTGGCTGACGCAGTTCAGCATCTTCAGCAGGCCCAGTCCGAAAGCGAGGAGTTGAGGACGGCAGTGGCTCTACTGATGCAGGAGCGCAAGCTGACTTATCAAATCATCAGACTTCTTCTTCGAGCATTCAACTTGGATGAGGAGCTCACAAACTTTTTGAGGCTAGCTCTCGAGGCAGTCTTTGAGGAGAAAAGCCAGGTGATAGAAACAGTTTTGCAGTCCGAAGTGCGGGAGGAACAAGTGAGAGATGCCTTTCTAGCTTTGGACGCAATCGTCACTCGTGGTTTCCCCACGTTTTCTGACCTTCAGCAAGTCGGCCTAGCATTGGGCTTGGACGCAGAGCAGTTGGTGAGGACCCTCTTCCTAAGCAGCTTGCAAGCAGCAGGCGTGCCGAAGGCAGTATTGGACAAGGTGGATGATACTCATCAGTCTGAAGCTGCTGAAGCTCTTGCTTTGATGGAGAGATTTGACGCAGCCATGCAGAGAGGTCACCTCGAGTATGTAGACTTCGAGGTGTTTGCTTCCACGTTTAGTCTAGACATCTCCGACATGCTCAAGCCGATTTTGCTGAAGTCACTTCAGGCTTTGGGGATGGAGATCAAGCAAACCCAAAACGCACTTTTTCTACCAGTGCCGCCAGAGACCCAGCAGAGCATCTCGAACATTCTTGAAATGGGATACCCCACCTATTTTGAGGTGAAGCACCTGTGTGGAGTTCTGGGGCTTTCAGTCCGAGACTTTCTGAAGCCCTTGACCTTGACTTTCATGAGCCAGTTAAGCCCCACTGCCAGAGAAATGCTTCAGAAAGCTGCTCCCACACCTGAAGAGTTAGACCGGCTTGAGGTGGCGCTTGACGCAGTTGCATCTCAGGGTTACATTGGTGCTGAGGTGACAGTCATTGCCGAGGTGTTCGGCTTGGATGCGCTTGACCTTCTCATCCCATTGGTAGTCTTTGCTCTGCAACAATTGCACGCCCCACATGACTTAGTCAATGCGGTTGAGCAAGTGGAGACTGAAGACATTCAGGCTTTGGAGCACTTCTGGGTTTCGATGTCTGCAAGAGGCAAGCCATCATTGGCCGATTTGAAGGCGCTGTCCACCACCCTTGGCCTCAATCCCTCTGAGCACTTAGTGAAGCCAGTGATTGCATGGAGCCTGACTTTCGCAGGAGCACCACAGTCCACCATTGATAGTGTCCAAACAGCAGATCTAAGTGGAAATGACATGATGAGTACAGTAGAGAACGTGCTGAGCCGCGGCCATCCAACATACTCTGACCTAGAAGTCATCATGCAGCGCATCGGCCTTGATCTTCATTTCTTTGATGATCCGGTGCAGCGCTTTCTTGGAACCTTAGGACATGATTTCTCAGCGGAGCAGTTGGAGAAGTTGCAGCAGCAACGCAACAGATTCCAGCTGCTCGCAAGCAGGAACGTGCCTGAAATCTTCGCTCGTGGATATCCAACAGCAAGAGACATGGAAGCTTTTGGTCAAGTCTTTGGGTTTAACACGACTGCATGGCTTCTTCGAACCCTGCCGTCTTTGTTGGCAAACTTGTTGAGTTTTTGGGACGTTCCAAAGGCGGTTCAAGTTGCGGTTTGGAATAGCCGGCCGCAAGTGGACTTGCTGAATGTGGCTGAGAACCTGACACAACGGGGCCATCCAGATCAGTCAGACCTGGAGTTGATTGCGTCGACCTTCAATCTTGATGCCAATAAGGACCTTCTCAAGCCGTGGTTGCGAGCAACGCTTGCCAAGGTACTCGTTTTGCCGCGAGAGGTGACCCTTGCGTTGGAAATGGCTGAGCCAGTCCCAGAAAAGATACCGCTTCTCTATTCTGTTGTGCCTGGTTTGATTCAACGCGGTTATCCAACGTATGTTGACCTGGATGTGTTGACCGCTTGCTTTGGTTTAGACCTTGCAGACACACTCAAGCACCTGATTCTGCAGCTGCTGAGGCAGGTTGGTGCGCCTTCCAGCATCACAGAAAAGGTTGGACAGAGATCCGTGCGCCCTCAAGAATTTGGAGAGGCCTTGTCTGATATTCTGAGACGTGGCTTTCTGGATTTTGCTGATTTTCGGGCCATTGCGAAAGCTTGCGAGCTAGATCACATGCAAGACATCGTGAAACCGTTGCTTTCTGAGCTATTGACCAAGGCAGGTGTACCTGCAAATCACACATCTCTGACTGTGATTTGGCAGGCGACTGAGGATCCTGAGCTGAATATCTCCGCCCTCCTGAAAAATGGCTGGCCCGATGTGCCAGATTTGCTTGCTCTTGCTGATGCCTTTGGGCTTGACTGGGGTGAGCTTATTCAGCCCATAGTGCAGAGAATCTTGCGAACAGCTGGCTTTCCGGATGAGGTCACTGTGCCACCTCGCCTTCAAGTTGACTTGCGAAGAATTCTGCAGCGTGGCTACCCCACTTCTGCTGATGTGCAGCAGATTGCGGCAGACTTAGGCTTGGACTTCAACACAATGATGTCCCGTTTCTTGGCCTCTGCTCTGCAAAGTGTCGGTGTATCATCCTCTGTGGCGCACCAAGTAGGGTCCTCAAATTTGCAAAATGTCGAGCTGCGGGATGTGCAAGCACTTGTGACCAGGCTGCAGCGGCTAGGGGGGATATCCAGCTTTTGGGATGTCCAACAGATCCAAAAGATTGCTGAGCTCGCTGGCATTACCATAGATGTCCAACAAGACTTTCTCAAACCTTTTGGAAAGATGGCATTGATTATGGCAGGTGCGCCGGATGATGAAGCAGCAAAGCTCGAACAAGCCAACATTGATCTAGAGAAGATGAATGAAGTTCAATCAGTCTTGACAAGCATTTGGCGCAGAGGCTTTGTAAACTTCTCAGATCTTGTGTCACTGCTTGAATCATTCAGCTTGCATGCTCTAGACACGATCCCGCAGACACTCGTCTCCGTGGGCTTAAAACAAGCAGGTTTGCCGCAAGAGGTGATGACAGTTGTGCAGAGTCTCCTGCAGCGTGTGCCGCTTGAGGCTGCAGCAAGACGAAAGCTATGGACTACTTTGACAGAGGTTCTCCAGAAAGGCTACGTTGACTTAGTAGATTTGGAGTCTATCGCCTCAGCCCTTGACAGTGAAGTTCGTTTTTTGCGCCAGGCTTTGGTTCCAATTCTTGACACAATCGGCTTGCAGGGAGAGGGTTTGCCAGAAGAGAACTTCACTCAGCTACTTCACCCACTGAGTCATTTCGTGCGCGCAGGCAAATTCGTCTACACTGACCTCCCGGTGATTTCAAGGGCCGTCAACTTCAATCTGGAGGGGCAGAAGATGCTCAAGGCTTTTGCGCTCGCCACGTTAGAAAGGGCTCGGGCGCCGCCTGAAGCGCTGCAGAAGGTGCAGTCGGCCAATATGACAGGTGAGACTTCCAAGCTCCAGGCCGCGCTGGAGTCATTGCTAAATGAGTGGTCCAAGGCCTCTACCTATCTCTTGTTGGAAGGAGTTGCAGAGGCTTTTCACTTGGATCTGGCGGAGGATTTGGCAAAGCCAGTGCTCCTGTTGATCTTGAAGCAGCTCGGGTCTTCAAAGATTAGCCTACAATTGTTGGAGCACATCAACTTGGAAGACCAGATGGTCACGTTTCAAGAAGTTCTGTCTGGACTGCTTGAGCAAGTGGAGTTTCTTGGGCAAGTCTCAAACATGACGAATGCCGAAATGCATCAACATTTGGTGATTCCAATGATAGGGCATGGTTTGCGGCAAGTTGGGGTGCCTGACGTTGTTTGGACAAAGGCACTCGCAACAAGTGGGCCCTTCAATCGCAGCTCCATGCAACAACTCTTTGTCGACTTTGTCCAAGGCGATTTGGAGCCTCATGTCAACCACACCAAGCTGGATTTGAGCGACCTTGCAGGTAAGCTTAGCTTCAACTTGCGCAGCTTGATCTTGTCAGTGCTTTCGGATTTCCTTAAGCATGCTGGGCTCGATTCACACATGGCTTCTGCAATACAGCAAGCAGATCTTCATGCGGACAAACTAGTCTTGCTCCAGCAGCGAACCGAAGAATTGCTCGTCCGAGGCCACTTACACTACCGTGCCTCGCTTGCCCTGGACAAGTTGTATTTTTTTGATCCTCCTCTACTTAATTACATCGGTCTTGCAGTTTTTCCCCTTCCATACTTTGTCAGGCATTTTCTATCTCGAGGGTTGTGGATGTTTGCCAACATTCGACGTTTCAGTAGCAAAAGGAGCACTGCCTTAAGCAAGTTTGCTTGCATGATTTCGGACGACAGAGCAAACTAGTCACCATCTAGTCTAAATACTTGCACACTCCTGCTCTTACAGCTAAAGTGGCTCATATTTTTGGGTGTAGGTGCTGCCTGAACTGGGCACTGTGAGGATATGATTTAAATGTATCTCTCTCTCTCTCTATGACTTTCGCCCCGAATTTTGATGAATCACCCCGTAAGTTGAAATCCCGCAGAATCTCGGCTTCAGCGGAGGGGTGCATGGCGCACGAGTTCGAGAGCTGCTCGTGCGTTCTGTGCCTCTCCCTTCGTCGAATTTTGCAACCTCCTGTATTCGGAGGAGGCGAGTGGGGCATTGCAGAGAAGAGGCATTGAGCTTCTTCGACAGGTCCATTCGCAACTTCTGGACTTCTCCGAGGGAGGTGACACGGGGGCTGCCAACCCCGGTCCCCCCGCTCTCCCGCAAGAGGGAGGAAGTGCTGCGAAGAGGGTTGTGAAGGAGGAGGAAAAGCCGGAAGAAGAGAAAGCCCCAGTCGCAGAAGGTGGTGCCCCAGTCGTAGTCCCCGAGGAGACGGACGCAGCCAGTGCCAGCGCTGAACGTCCACCCGGCAATACTGAAACGATTGCTGCTGAAGGTGAGCCTCGCAAGAAAGAGAAGAAAAGGAGTTCAAGAGATCGAGAACGCCGTCGCCGTCGAGAGAAGGAGAAAGAAGTTGAAGAGGGAGTGGAACGGCGCTCCCGTAGCCGCCAGCAAGACCGCCGTCGCCGCAAGTCGAGCCCAGGCCATCGCCCAGCTGGAGGGCATCGCCACAGCCATTCCCGCTCCCGTGGCCTCGTACACCGACCCCCAGCCCGGCTCCAGCATCACCCCGTGGAGCTTTGCCATCCCGTCCATCAGGCCTCACCAAAGTGCAATACCTCCTCCACCAAAGCCATCCCCGGTGCCGAGAGCCTGACCATCCACCCCCCGGGTATTCCAGTTGGGCTGACACCGACGTGCGATCCAAGTCGTGGGCTTACCGTGAGACACCCCCCCAACAAGGGTCGGCAGAAGGACGAAAGAAACACGAACTTCCGACTTTGGAGGGAGTACGAACGGGGGTATTACTGAGGACCATGCCTCCGCGTCGAAGGCCAGCAGCGGCTCCCAGGGAGCCTCGAGGAGGAGTTCTACGTGGGCCGAGGCTGGAAGCATTGCGCAGACCTGCCCGGGGGGGAGGCCCCGAGGTCTCCCGAGGCAAAAGAAGTCGAGTGGGTGGCTTTGAGCAAGATCACATTGAATGCCCTCAACTTGAGGCAAAAGGTTGTGTTGGAAGTGCAGTATTGGGAATCTCCCATGGTGATAGCAGGGGAGACTCGAGGTGTCGTGGTCAACGAGGGCGATGCGACTTGGCGTATCTGGGTCACCGGGACTCAGAGCGAATCCCTGTTGAGAGAAGTTGGAGGACGTTGCAAGGAGCTGAGGATTCATGTTTGCCCAGACCCGTGCGACAGACTGGTGTGGGCGAAGGATTTGATCCACGGCCTCCGCTACCATGTGCAAGACGGCTCCACAGAGGATTGGTGGACCAACTTGGAGGAGGTTCCCCGGCGCTTGAGAAGACGATCCCTTGAAGCGTATTCGAGAGGAGGTGGTAGAGAGAGATCGGGGGAGGATGTGCAGTATTTTTTCCGAGGCAGTGGATCCTCCCGCTCGGAGGCCAAACAAGGCATTCCTCGACGCCCCAAGAAAGCTGTTCTGCGTTCACAGGTGGATGCTTGTGAAGAAAGGCAAGTGCACGTTGAAGGGAGGTTTCGCGTATTTTGCACTCTTTCGGAGGCCCCTTCTGGCAGCGTTATACGAGGTCTGGAGGTTCATGGAGCGGCTGAAGGCATTGCCGCCTGTGGTTCGATTGAGCGTGCCTACGGAGGTCCAGCGCGAGCTCCTCACCTTCATCCTGCTCACCCCATTAGCTCAGATTGACTTCCGGTGTCCCTTCGTTGAGCATGTGACATGCAGTGACGCTTCGACTACGGGCGGAGGTATTTGTGTTAGTGAAGGTCTGACAAGCTATGGGGTTGCGGCTTTGAACTCCGAGAGTCGTGGGGATCTCCCGAAGGAGGGGGAGATTATGGAGTTGCTTACAGTGGGGCTCTTCGATGGCTTGGGGGCGTTGAGACTAGCGGTGGACAGCCTAGGAGTTGCCGTGGCAGGCCACTTGAGCGTTGAAAAAGAGGGAACAGGCCGACGAGCGGTGGAAGCTTTCTTCCCGGACTCTATTTTCCACGAAGATGTCAAGTCGGTGGATGAGACCCTGGTCAAGAGCTTGTCATTGCGGTTTCCCTCCGTCTCTCTTGTCCTGATTGGGGTTGGGCCGCCCTGCCAGGGCGTCAGTGGGCTGAATGCGGCAAAGAAAGGAGCCCTTCAGAGATGAGCGTAGTTGCTTGTACCAAGAAGTTCCTCGGATTCGAGACTTGTTTCGGAGGGCAATCCCCTGGGCGCAAGTTCGAACCCTTATGGAATCAGTGGCGTCCATGTCGGAGGAAGATCGTGGTATCATGAGCGAGGCTGTGGAGACGACCCCGTTCAAGATCGACGCGGCCGGCATCAGTCTTTGTCACCGTCCTCGACTTTACTGGGTTGACTGGGATTTAGCTCCGGGGGAGGGAGTGTCCATTATCTCTCCCGAGAGTGACGCAGGTTGGCTTGGTTGTGGAGTCGTGGAGTTGAGCGCCAAGTTGAACGCGGAAGCTTTCCTGGAGCAGGGGTGGCGCGTCACGGAAGGTTTCAAGCTCCCTACTTTCACTACCTCCAGGCCACGGGATAACCCAGGATACCGTCCGGCAGGCCTGGATCGGTGTTCCCCGCATGAGTGACAAAGGTGGGAAGAGGATCAATATCGCTTTCCTCCTTACCAATATCGAGACCACAACTTGCTTTGGACAAAGAAGGGATCAGCCCGTCGAGCAAACATCCAGGAGCGCGAGGCGATGATGTGCATTCCCGTGGGCTACACGCGGCCATGTCTCCCGAAGGCAGAGCAGGGCGGAGCCAAGTGGGATGACACTAGGCTGAGCTTGGTAGGGAACTCCTGGCATGTGGGAGTTATTGCTTGGTTGCTAGGGCAGTTGTTGAGTCCATTGGGATTTTGTCGCAAGCAGTCGCTTCAGGAGATAGTGGATTACTTGACGCCAGGTGGTAGTCGGAATTTGCAAGGGATTCTGTTGAGGCCTCCACTGTTGTCGAACCGCACCTTGGTGAGCTCATTGGAAAAGCCTTTGCTGCTTAAGTTGCTTGGGTTGGTGTCCATGAAGGGAGAGGACCTCATGGTCACAGCCGCGAGTGAACCACAAGTTAAGTTCCACCGTCTCCGGTCAAGTGTCCCAGCAAAGTTGTGGCGCTGGCGAGAAGTGGCAGGGTGGCAGTGGCGTCACTCTGGCGATCACATCAACGTGTTGGAACTTCAAGCGATTTTGACTACGTTGCGTTGGTTGGCAGTCCGTCGAAAAGTGCATCGTCGTCGCTTCATGCACCTGACGGACAGTCTTGTCTGTTTACGCAGCTTGTCGCGTGGACGAACTTCATCCCGAAAGTTGAGGCACGCGTTGAAGAGAATCAGCTCCTTGATCCTTGCTGCAGACCTTCACCCTGTGTGGGGGTATATCCACACTGCTCAAAACCCCGCGGACATCGCGAATGGGGAAAGTAAAGCAGCATTTAGAAGGGCACAGCAAGGAAACAAGGGCCAGAAACCGACAAGCTTTGGGTACCCTGAGACAGCTCACGGTACAACCGCAGACTTGCAAGCGCTACAGCCAAGCAAAGGACAAGTTCTATGACTATGCTCGCTCGAACCAATTGACCATTCCAACCAACATCACCTCCTTCGATGACATGTTGGCCGATTACATTGGGTATTTGTGGAGTGTGGGAGAGGGGCGCGCCCTCGCAAGCGACACGGTCGCGGCCTTTCAAGACACCGAACCACGACTGAAGGGCAAGCTCCAGGTGACATGGCGCCTGTTGAAGACATGGCACGTTAACGAGATACCGAGTCCCCTCCCGGAAGAATGTCTCTTCGCCATGTTAGGGTGGTGCTTGTTTCATGGAGAGTACGCTTTTGGCTTGAGTCTTCTGCTTGGGTATTATGGTTTGCTGCGCGCAGGGGAGATTTTGGGATTGTGCAACCACCACATTCTCATGACTTCTCCCGATAAGCCAGCTGTCATTTCCCTCGGATTGACAAAATCCGGCAAACGCGCCGGTGCCGCGGAAAGTGTGACCATTTCAGTCACGTGTGCTCTACAATGGTTGTGGGCGTGGAAGCACACCTCTCCTGCACACAGCCCCCTCACTCCAAAACCACACCAACGGCGTAAGACCTTTAGTGTATGTATTAAGGCGTTGAACCTCGAAGAATTCGAGTTCCGCCCTTATAGTTTGCAAAGGGGCGGGGCCACGTGTTGGTTTGGAAGACACGGATCCCTGGACAGGATCATCGTGCTTGGCAGGTGGGCCGCAGTGAGGACGGCCCGCCTGTACATCAACGAAGGGCTAGCTTTGTTGGCCTCTTTAAAGCTCCCCAAGAAGTCCATTCTCCCTTATGTGCGTATGTTTCACAAGCAGGACCTTGCCACCTTGCCTCGATTGCTTGAGCGTGCTAAAGCAGTCTGGGGGGAGGAACTGTGTGTGAGGAGGGAATTCATTTTTTGGTGTCACCCAGAGAAAGACCCAATAATCTACCTGGGCCCAGGTGTCCTGGTTTGGC